GAAGACATCAAAAGATAACAAAATACACACACTTAGGAGGACGCCGGAACTCAGATAAGACTTGACAAACCAGAATAATTTCACACTTTGCTTCCAGCAACTCTGCCGTGCGCAGTTTGTCCTTTTAAACAGTCCTTACATCTGCAGCCCATGAAGGGGATCAAGGCCCTTTCCTCCCCTGTAGACCATGCCATTCACGTTTCTCCCTTATCCGCTCCTCCCTGCGTGCCCTAGGATGAAGAGGGGGTGGGCCTGGGTCTTCCTCTGACTGCCCAGCCGGCTTGTACCCTTCCCCAGATTCCTCCACAGCTCACCAGAGGAATCAGATTCCAACAGGGGCATGAAACATCTGTTTAGCGACCGTTTGAAGTTACAAGGCACTAGAAAAAGTGACTGATGACCATTTTTCATGCTTACGACCGTTGCAACATCGGCATGATCACATGATCCAAATCCGGATGCTTAGCAACTGGCATGTACTTATGACAGTTGCAGTGTCTTGGGAGTCACATGATCCCCTTTTGCAACCTTCTGACAAGCAAAGTCAAAGGGGAAGGTGGATTCATTTAATGACCGTGTTACTAAGCTAACAACTGTAGTGATTCACTTAACAACCATGGGGGAGAAAGGTCATAGAATGGAGCAAAAAACTCCTATAACAGATGCCTCCCTTAGCCACAGAAATTGGGGGCTCCCTTACAGTCATAAGCCGAAGACCAGCTACAAATAGCAGCTTTTGTTTGCAGAACATCTGAAATAGGAAAAGTTGTTGGAGTTACAACTTCTGCACTTTCCTTCTTTTTCCCCCCAATTTTTTGTTATTTTTGACAACAAACATAAACAAACACAAACCAAGTAAAACCTTCTTTCAATTGTACAGTGTGTCAGCTGGTACATATCTCTTGTGCATAATATCAACAATCTTTTCCTTTTAAATTAAAATTAAAATTCATATTATAAAAACCTATTCATATCATGTTATCTTATTGTTAAATCATCATTAAACTTTAACTACACATTGACTTCATCCTTTTTGAGCAAATTTGAATTCTTTCCATAATAATTGGCTATGATATGTTTTCATTGTATTATCTTTACTATTATATTATATTTATATTGTAATATGTTTTATTTCTCTATTTTCCTATCTAACCATTGGTAAAATAAATCCCATATTTTATAGTATTCTTTTTCTTCTTGCTCTTTAATTGCCAATGTTGCACTTTCCTTCTTATGGGCCGCTCACCTGGCAACAAACTCAAGACTTACAAAGGCTCTAGACCTCAGTGGCCCCCATCCACGGTCTTCCACCCCTTTGAAGCAGGTCACAACATTGGAGACCACGCACAAAAAAACCGCCTAAACTCTTCCCATGGCCTATTTCTTTTATTGGCTCCGGTGCATGTACCTCGTAAATAAAACCTGTCGCATTTCTTTCTAAGAACCGACGGGCAAAAAATAGCTCTCGCACTCCTTACATAGCAGGGGCCTGAAACCAGAAATCGGAAGCGGCGCTGGTGGGGCACAGACGATTTTTACAACTTTCGTGCAAAAAATCGCACCCTCACTGTTTTAATGTCTCTGAAATGAACGCCCAGAGTGTTACTCTGCGACGTGTGCTTCTGAAACACCCAAATTTCTAAAGATAAAAAGCTATTCTAGTCATCCCGTGCTGCAAACACAGAAGCCGGAGTGAAAAATATTACACTGGCAGTTGAACGCGCTTTCCAAATATATAACTCAGAAGCTAAGCTTTTTTTTTTTTTTAAATTAACATTCTTCATTTGTGCAAATATGCTACTATTTCCGTGGCGTGCTATTTTTTTCTGGGTGTGATTTCTTCCTCCTTCTACCCTGCCTTCTTTTAAATTAGTGCCCCTTTTCGACACTCAGCTGATAGGGAATGAAATACACTGTTGGTGTGCTGTTTTTGCCAAAGAATTTTTGGAATTATTAAGGGATCAGCACATCGAAACATATGTTAGAAAGACTCACGTAAAGTCGCGAGGTTTGAATACAACTTGAAGGGACATTTTGAGCTTGGAAGTTTACATCAAAGTTTGGGAGAGTTTTCTATGCTCATTAAGAAGAATAGAGTATAGATCCTGAGGGCTGGAAGGGGTCTAAGAGGTCTCCTAGTCCAACCCACGGCTAAAGATGGGAGGCTTTATACCATCCTAGTCAAATGGCTGTGCAGTCTATTTCTGAAATCCTCCCACAACTCTGCGAAGCGAGCTTCCTCACCAATCCATTGTTCCCACTGTCAGAAAATGTCTAATATGTCATAAGTTATTTCTCGTGCTTATTATGACAGTCTTCTAAAAATTGCTGTGCTTAGTGTTCCAAAGCCCTATTGATATCCTCATGGTTATAGCAGGGGTCGGCAATTGGTGTCTCCTGAATGAAAATCAGCCCTCCAAATCTCTCATCTTGCAAAACTGAAGAATGGAAGCGAGCAACGGAGGATTTCGGGACAGGGCTGGATTGGCCTCGTGGCTTTCTCCTCTCGGAGGGCTTTTAGTCCAGTTGGAACTGGGTATGCCTAGTTGAATGAAAAGGAGGATTTAGGGGTGACAGGATAGCAGTCTTCCAATATTTGAGGGGCTGCCCCAAAGAAGAGGGAGTCAAGCTACTCTCCAAAGCACCAGAAGGCAGGACAAGAAGCAACGGATGGAAACTCATCAAGGAGAGAAGCAACTTAGAACTTAAGGAGAAATTTCCTGACATTTTGAACCGTTAATCAGTGGAAGGACTTGCCTTTAGAAATTGCGGGTGCTCCAACACTGGAGGTTTTGAAGAAGAGATTGGACTGCCATTTGTCTGAAATAGTATAGGTTTCCTGCCTAAGCAGGGGGGTGGACTAGAAGACCTCCAAGGCCCCTTCCAATTTGTTAAAATAAAAAGAGTGACCAGCCAGGATTTTGCTTGTTCCCCAAAATGTGCTTGGAGCAGGAATTCTCCGGGCCAAAGCAATTGCTATGTAGCATCCGCTGATGGTGAGGAACCTAGATTTCATCTGCCCATTTTATTATTTATTTATTTACTTATTTAATTAATTTGTCAAAAGCTTACTGAAACTGATCAAGGAGAGATTTAACTTGGAAATAAGGAGAAACTTTCTGACAGTGAAAACCATCAACCCATGGAACAGAAGTTGCCTTCAGAAGTTGTGAGAACTTCATCCCTGGAGGGTTTCAAGAAGAGACTGGACTTCCCTCTGTCAGAAATAGTGTAGGGTCTCCTGCTTGGGCAGGGGGTTGGACTAGATGACCTACAAGATCCTTGCCAACTCTGTTAATCTGTAATTTTCTCAAGAAAATGAGGTATTTAGCAAGCTTGTAACCTTAGGGTTATGCGAGGTCAAGCTCAGAAGGCAAATGAATTTTGAGAAGATAGCTTATGAGTAGAGGCCTCGGCCTCATGTCCTTCTAAGGGTTTTGGTGGAACACATCCTCATGAGCTGGTTTCTTTTCATCCTTAGGCCATAAAGAGCCACCTTGGAGAGATTTGACGCCTTCCCACTTTCTAGGTAGTGTTTTCAGCGGGTGGGGAATTTTGGCAGCTGGGGGTGTATTTGGGGATTGTCGTGTGTGTGTGTGTGTGTGTGTGCATGTTGGGCCTGGTCTCTGGGTGTTAGGTGAATTTCGCTGTGTGGGTATACTGTGTATATACGTACAATGACAATAAAGTATTATTATTATTATTAGTGCTTTTCCTCTTCCCCTACGCATAATCTAGTCTCACCAAGGATGCGGTTGAGGATATGACCAATGCATTGGCTTGGCTTGGCTTGGCTCTTATTGGTTGGTGGGATTAGGACAAACCAGACATCTATAGAGCCACTGACCAGCACAATCTCAGAGGAGAACTGTCTAAAGTACTAAAACACAGATTCCTTTAACACAGAGACAGAGCATTTTTGAGGATGTGATTCTAATTGAATTCTACCACTTGCTGCTGAGGTTATTATAGGATCTACTCTGCTTCTGCCAACAAGGGGGTGGAGTAGGACTTAACAGAACGTAGGAGTATAACAAAGTTGGAAGGGACCTTGGAGGTCTTCTAGTCCAACCCCGTTCCAGCAGGAAATCCTATAGCACTTCAGACAAATGGTTGTACAATCTCTTCTTCAACTCTTCCAGTCCTTTTGCATCCAGATATCCACTTCTCGTGGCTCTATTCTTAGGGTTTAATTAGAAGATGGTGGTGTCACGTTGTCTACTCTCTGAATACCTGCAGGTCCTACTAGCCATGGCCTCTCTACCTGCCAACTTGGCCATTCTCTGGCCTTCTTCTCAAGGATGAAGCTCTCTCATTGATGGTGTTTGGCTTCAATTCACTTTCTTCCTTCAAGCCCAGGTCCTCCCAGCGGACTATTTTGGGATGTGGATGGAGTGCTCTTTTCAGGAGAACCTTCGAATCCTCGTCAGAAATCACCCGCAGTTTGACAGGTGGCCGAAAACCCATTATTGACGCATCTGTCTACACTTGCCTGGCCTGTCCCACCACGTGTGAAGGAGACAGACGGGCTGGCCACTTTCCCTGAATGGCGTGTGGTGAAGCTCGTTCAGAAGAAGAAACCAAAACCAGAGGAGTCACCCACCCTTCCCTTATCGCGTTCTCGTTCCTTGTGAAAACACAAAAGACAGCACAACTCCAGGTCCTGGCTGGAGAGGCAGAGTAAGCAGGGACAACGAGAGAAGTTCAGGTTTTTTTTTCTGGCAGAGTTTTTTTTTTTTGCCAACTCATAGGCTAAAGGAAGTTCTTTTAAGACACGAAGTTCGCAGGGGTCTCTGCCTTGGTTGGAATAAAACACATGGATTGGCTGCGGAGTTTCAATCACTCACTCACTCAGTGGAGGGGACCTCAGAGGTTATCTAGTCCAGGGGTTGCCAACCTTTTGGACCAGAGACCCTGGGAAAATCCCCCAAAAGGTATGCAGGAAAATTCCCACCCCATTTTCCTATCGATACTCTCTCCAGCTCCGTTCTTGGGGGAGAAAGAGAGACTTTTGGCTTCATGCAAGGAAAGCAGCAGAAGCCGCAGAAGTCTTTCTTTCTCTCCCTCCAACTCCACCAGAAACGAGTCCTTCTGACACTTGTCGCACTGGCGAAGCCTCTTGGAGCAGGAGGCCTTGCAGGGTCCCAAAGACTCATTTTTGGTGGAGTTTGGAGGAGAGAAAGAAAGACTTTGGCTGCTTTCCTTGCGTGCAGCCGAAAGCAGAAGAAGAAAGGAGCAGAAAGAAGCAACCCGGTGGTCAGGCGAGGTGTGTGGGGTGCGTGGGGCAAGTTCCCCCCCTCTGCCCTTCCCCCCCCTCCCCTCACTACCTCGTGTTGTTCGCAATGCAAACGACGCAGGGTTGTGTTCCCACTCAGCCTGGATTAATTGCTATGAGAGTGACATTTCTTTGCGGACCACCAAAATTTTCTCACGAACCACCAGTGGTCCCCGGCCCACCGGTTGGTGACCACTATTCTAGTCCAACCCCCTGCAGATGATTCATGCATTCAAAGATACATTACATCCTTCTTCTTCAGAGCTACGGGGGAGCTAACTGTAACCCCTTGAGACGGGCTGGCCCGAGAGATTATCTGAATGCAATATGGTGGAAGAGGAATTCGAATCTTGAGTTTCTCCAGTCCTGGGCCTTGAGCCATCACAGTGTGGCATACTAGCTCTGTGTTTCCCTTTTTTTTTTTTAAACAAACCCAAGATTCAACTCAGCTCACTTTGGAGAAAACCATGCTAGAAGGAAAGAGACATTTCCCGACGTTGAGACCAATCCGGGGGGGGAACTTTTTTTGGCGGGGGGGGGGGGGGGGGGGGGGGGGGGGTCCAACCAGGGGAGGTCATCAAGAGGCCTAGGGTCTCCTGCTTGGTCAGGAGTTGATCTAGATGACCTCCAAGGCCCCTTCTGAGTCTGCCCTTCTGTGATCCCAGCTCAACTATAATCAGGGGAATAACTTGCCTCCAGAAGTTGTGGGGGCTTTTAAGAAGAGGCTGACAGCCATTTGTCTGAAATATTATAGGGCTTCTGGTCTGAGCATGGGTTGGACTAGAAGACCTCCAAGGTCCCTTCCAACTCTGTTATTCTGGTGCTACCGTGAGTGTTTTTCTAGTGTTTTTGGCGTTCCTTCTCAAGCCTTGGCTGAAAAGCCATATTTTTTCCCCCCACTGCCTCCTTATTTGTAGGCCCACATGGCTTCTATCTACCTATCTCACCGGCAAGGACTGTGGAGCTCCCATTTCTCACGTACCTTTCACTGCACAGATTTCCTCGGGGCCCCCATCCTTCCTCGAAGTCCCGATCCAGAAGGGATCCCGAGCTCTTTCTTCACGTCCCATAAGTCTCGGGCTTCAGCTCTGCCCTTTGGGCAGGTCATCCCCGGCTTCCTTCGAAACATCAAGACCCAAATTTTCCAAAGGCAGGAGAAGAAGGAAGAAGGGGGGGTGGGGGGGCAGGAAAAAAAAAGAAAATTAAATCAACACCTGCCCCCACCCCAAGTTTTCCCTCCCTGAGCAGGAAAGAAATGAATTTTCAAAAAAGCAGCTGTCGATAGAGTTGCTTTGGGGAAGAAAAAATGTATATAACCATTAGAAAAAGAAAAAGAAAGATAAGATCCAAGAGAATCCAGTTCCAGGAAGGTTTTAATGTCAAACTCCTTTGCTGTACCCTGTTGGAGTGAGATTGGGAAGACGCCAAAGAAGCTCTCAGCAGTAGACAGGGAAGGGGAAAAAAAAAAAGTCTCCTTCAGGATCCCACTTTAATCGTGGTTGAACATCTCAGCCATTCGCCTGTCATCCAGCAGCGCCGCTTGGCTTCTCTCTCTACTCCGGAGTTGTGGCCACTTTCTTTTCTCCTCTTGGTGCTGTCGGTGGTTTGAGGAAGCTGTTGCAGAGAAGAGAGAGACAGGGAGACGGGGAGAAGAGGCTGTATTTTCATGCCGATCGCTTTTCCCCGGCTAAGCCTCTGGACGGAGCAGTGTGAGCGAGCTTCTCCGACAAGCCTTCACTCCCTCCTACCGCTTGTGTGCGAGCATAGCAGTTTCTCCAGCTCCTTCTTCAACTGCAAGGCAACTCTGGGAAACTTCTAAAGGTGCCCATATTGTGTTTTTAGTTTCTCTCCATCTAAGCTTCCAACGTGAGCTTGGCCTCCAGGTACTCGCAGCTCCAACCCAGCTTAGTCTGTCTCCAGGAAAGGAAAGCTCCCTTTAGGGGAAGGAAGGAAGGAAGGAAGGAAGGAAGGAAGGAAGGAAGGAAGGAAGGAAGGAAGGAAGGAAGGATAGAAAGAAAGAAGAAAAGGAGGGAGGGAGTTCAGGTTTTGCAAGATCTATTTTATTTTCTCGGTTTGGGAGACCAGTGTATTTCTCAGTATGAAAACGCCTGGCCGTGGGTCCCTTGTGGATCTTATTCCGAAGGTGCCCAGTGATCACTGCTTTTTTACGTCCTGGGAGATCAACCAGGGGCTACGTGGTTTTGTTCTGCTCTGGAGTTCTATTTTTGTTAACATTTCCTTAGAAGTGCTGCTGAAAACAGAAGAGACAAGTTTCTGACATTTAGAGAGGAGGAACATAGGGGAGCTTGTGATTTGAACATTTTTGGACAAGAGAGAAACATTAAATTTAACCCCCATCGTGCTGCTAAAGCTGAGCTTGGCTGACCAATGAATTCCAGAAGTCCTGAAATGTTATATATTTCTATTGGTCTCCCCAAAATATTTTAGAGAAACCTCATTTGATCCCAGGAAGGTAGAACAAAGGCGGAGGCATCTGTTAAGTGCAGTTACTACCTAGACAGGTAGCAAATACAGGTAGGATATGATGCTCAACTCTGCTATCTGCTGTAAAAAAAAAAAACCAAATTGGCATCCTCCGATTCTTTGAAGAAATGGTTAGCTTTTATGGGGAATTTATAGCTGGATTATTTGTCCATTGAGAAGTTTATTTGCTGTTGGTCAAAACATTCAAACAAGCTTGGATGAGTGAAATTCATCCATTGTTAAAACTTTTTTTTTTTAAATCAAGTTTCTAGCCCTCCTCAATTATTTTCCCAAAGGCAGCTTGTCTGCGATCGGTGGAACATTCCCGCAGCTGTTGGCTTTTCTCTGTGATCCTGAAAAGAAGTTAATTCGGAAAAAAATGCCCGATTTGGAATTACGAGCCTTAATTGTCAGGTGACCAACAGATTGTCAGGAGCGAGGAGGGGGAAATAAATAAATAAATTAATAATAAACAACAGCTCCAATGTTATTGGATGCAGCAGAGCCACAAAATGCCAATTAGAGTCTATTATAGCTGCAAAGTGTCAATTACTGTCAATTACAGATTTCAAAGGCTGAGGAGAAGGAATTGATTTTCCTCCTTCCCTCAAGAGAGCAGGAGACACGATGCAAACGGTTTTTGCAAAATCACCTCCAAAATTATTCGTTTCCCAGGACCCTTGGCCTGACTCTGGGAACGGCTGGCATTGGTTCTTGTCATCCTGCCGTGGGGCCTCCACGTAAAACCAGGGGAACTAAATGCAGCACCAAATTTGAACCCAGGACCGACCTCAAGTTTTGCCTATGAAACTGAGCGCACGCGATGACCCAAAGGGGCATGGCACAAAAATAACAAAAGTCACAAAAGTAGATAAATTCCCTTGCATGCCTTCAACTTGGCTCCCAATGTCCAGTTATCCTCGGCTGGAGATCAAACTCTTCTAAAAAACAGTCTACAAGGGGAAGAAATGCAGTCCGAACCCAAAGTGCAGATAAATTAGAAATAAAAACAACAACACAAACCACGCTAAAGTAATTAACATGACAGGCCAGGATAATAAATTACAGACTTCCAAAAGATAACGAAGCACACACAGTTGAGAGGACGCCCAAACCCAGATAAGCCTCAACAAAGATAATGCACGCTTTGCTTCCAGCAAGGAGCCGTGTGCAAACACCCTTCTTATATCCTGTTCTTGCAGCTGCAACTAATGAAAGAGATCAGGGCCCTTTTCTCTCCCATAAGCCATGTTGCTCCCTTCTCCATTCCTCCCTGTTTCCCTAGGATGAAGACAGGGTGGCCCTGGGTCTTCCTCTGAATGCCCAGCTGGACTGTGCCCTTTCCCAGTTTCCTCCACAGCCACTGGAGCCACACTCCCACTCCCTGTCAGCTGCTCAATCTCCCCCTCAGAATCAGACAGCGGGAAGGGAGTGAAGAGCAAGGCGATGCCAAAGTCCATTTCTCTAAATGTTAACATCTAACTAAATGAACACGACACATCGAGGTGTTGGTGGCCAAAACCTTGCCAAGGGTGTTGTTGTGCTGCCAAATAGCAGAACACTAGACAATATTTGAGCGCAAAGAATCCATCTGGGTCTCTGGACTAACATGGTCTGTTCAAAATGCCTGGGCACAGATGTAAGATTTTCCTTTTGCTGAGCAAAACTACCATAGTTTCCTGCCAAACCAGATTGACACCAGCTGGGGCCCAACTAAGCCTTCTCTGCAATTATAAAATATTTTTTTCATGGAGGGAATTCTTGCTGGAGGAAGCTTCTTCCGTTGTGTGATACAATGCAATTGACCGCCATTGTTACTCCATATTAATAAACTCAAGATTAAGTTGAAGTTTGGCTCGAGAATCATGATTTAATTAGGGTGATTGGTGATTGGAAGCTGAGATGGTCTCTTTCTTGATTAGTTGCCCTTGTTTCATCTTGGAACATCTGAGGAGAACCTTTACTGGAGTCCATGTTGTTTTTCTGGAATCTCCTTCCCAACCAGGCCTAGAGATGGCCTGGTCACCGATCCTTGGATCTCAAGATCATTTTAGAAGATCTGTATATGCTGGGGTGGGGTGGAGAGGGATGAGTGAGTGGGAGACTATGAGTTGCTATTTGAGGTTCGTTGAAGTTCCTGACTGAGATTTTTTTCCCCAAAATAGTGACCTTAAAGATAAGAGCGTTGTGTAGGAGGGATCTCCAACCTTAGCAATTTTACGACTTGTAGACTTCAGCTCCCAGAATTCCTCATGGCGGGCTGAGGAATTCTGGGAGTTGATGTCCATAAGTCGTAAAGTTGCCAAGCTTGGAGAACCGTGCTGTGTAGGGTAGTAATTTCCATTGATCATTGCTTGTGCCAAGGCAAATGTTGAGGCTCTTGAATTGTCCAGCTGAATTAGAAGAAGGCGGAATGTAATCCTTCTAAAGAAGATACTTCCTGAAGCAATGGCACCAAGGAATAAATCTTTCTGTTTTTTCAGGGGCTGATGAAAATTTAATTAGAAGGTGAGCTATTGGATTTACGGCTTGGGAATGTCTCCCACTAATTCCCACTAATAGTACTTAAAGCTGCACTTTAAGATGTAACATATACATTGTGTACTGTGGTTTTATTGCCCAAGATGTCTCATGTGTTCTTAAAGCTGGCACTTCGCCTTCAAGTCTAACATCTAACAAAATGAGCATTGCACGTCAAGGCACTTGGGTCTGTGGTCAAAGCCATGCCAAGAGTGCCGTTGTGCTGACAAAAAGCAAAAATCCAGACCATATTAAAGCACTAAGAGCCCATTTGGGGGCCATTTCTGTCTGGACCAACGGGGTCTATCCAAAATGACTGGATAGAAGGATGTAGGATTTTCCACCCATTCAGAACTAGGGATAATGTTGGAAAGCTGAAATTTTGAAACATGGCAGATGAGGAGGAGGAGTAAAGGAGGAAGAGGCAGAAAAGAGGAAGAGGAAAAGGAAGAGGAAGAGGAAGAGGAAGAGGAAGAGGAAGAAGAAGAAGAAGAAGAAGAAGAAGAAGAAGAAGAAGAAGAAGAAAGAGGAGGAGGAGGAGGAATAGAAGTAGAAGTAGAAGTAGAAGCAGAAGGCAAAGGTGGAGGAGGAGGAGAGGAGAAGAAGAGGAGGAGGGAGAGTGGGGAGGAGAAGCAGAAGGAGAAGGAGGATAAAAGCAGAGAAGTAGAAGCAGGAGGAGGAGAAACAGAGAAAAAGGAGGAGGAGGAGGAGGAGGAGGAGGAGGAGGAGGAGGAGGAGGAGGAG